TCTCTCTCTCTCTCTCTCTCTCTCTCTCTCTCTCTCTCTCTCCCTTTGTCTCTTTCTCTCTCTCCCTTTGCGTGCATGTGTGTGTGTATGTTTGTGCGTGTGAGTGTCCCTGTCTGTCTCCCCTTTCCTTTCTTTACCTCCCCCCCCCCAACCACACATTTCTCCTTCTCTTCTTTAAGACTCTTTAAGACCCTCATTGTCTGTCGATGTCCCCAAGAAAAGCGCAGACGAGATCGGAAATGGCTTAGAATCAGGCGAAGAAAACTATTTGCTTTCTCTTTGCACGATCGCGTCCACCTGAAAAATAACTCGCCAGCCGTGTTTGCATATGAAAAGCTGTCAAGTGGGCAGAATCTATTCTGATTCCAAGATGCTTTTATGTGTCTATACTTCTGGCTTGGACTTAGAGTCAACGGGAAAGGACAGGAACGAAAGTATACTGGGAAAAAATAGGAGCACTGTTTTTGAATATTTGTAGTGTACTGTTTTTGTTATTATTTTCATCACCTTCCTCCTCCTCCACCTCCACCACCTCCTCCTCCCCCTCCGCCCCCTCCTCCTGGCCCACCTCCCCCACCCCCGGCTAACGTTCCTACTGAGGTAGCGACACCTGGCGGTGGTCGCCAGAGTTTGCTAGACTCCATCGTACAGGCTGGAGGGGCTGCAGGAGCTGGTCTGAAATCAGCCAAGGATAGAAAGCACACACAGAAGAAGAAGAAGCAGGAGGAGAAAGATCAGGGTCAGGCAGCACCCAGTGGAGGGGGAGGAGGAGGAGGCGATTTGATGAGTGATTTGTTCAGCAAATTAACTATGCGCAGGAGAGGTATTTCCGGAACTCCTAAGGGAGGTGAGAAGTCAGACGCAGGTGGTGGTGGTGGTAGTGGTGCAGGAAGTGGTGGTGGCGGCTCAGCCATGGATAAGATATCCTCAATGATTCCAGCACCTCCTAAAAACAATGCCCCGCCACCTCCAGCAGATGATGATGATGATGGTGATGACTGGGACTAAGTATCTTCTTGTAAAGACAAGGAATTTTCCTGACATGAGGATGGGGAAGTGATTTGGTGTAAGATTATTTGGTGTAATCTTTCAAATGAGATTAATAACTCGTTGGTGCTTACTGTCAGTGTGGGAGTCCAAGAAAACATGTGATTTGAGAGTTTTCTTTTGTGATTTATATTTTTATTTTTGGAAAAAGTTTTTTCAAATTGACTTCTCGTTGTAAGAATTTGTGATTTGTCACTTTTCAAAACGGTGTATTGCCGAATCTTACAGCAGTGGAATTTTATTTTGCTGCAGAGATAAATACCCAAACATCAGGATGATTATTGTTTTATGTAATTGTAATGAGTGTTTTTGTTTTTTGTAATAAAGGCTCGCAAGTTCTGAAATTGTTGTAAATCTCTGAAAGTACTGTGTGGACTAATAAGACCTTGGATGAAAAAAATGTAAAAGTCAATGCTTTTAAAAAGGTCCTATGGAGAAAAATGTTAACTTTTAGAATTGATAGCAAAATTTTGATAGTTTGAGGTATTCAATGCTTTCACCTTTCACATTGAGTGGTTGTAGTAGGTACCACAAACTGAAATTTCGAAGTCCTCTGATTTTATATTTAACTGCACTACCTTATAGAATTTATCATTCTGAGCATTTTGATACCAAATTTATACATATAGCTTCATTTTTAACAAAGTTATGAACATCTGAAGTTGCAGAAAAATGTAAGTTTTTTAATTGCGAAATGTCTACACTTTGAGATGTCACAACATTCTTAAATTTAAATGGACATTCATAAAAACTTGTAGACACACACCTATGCACATAGAGAACAAGCTCAATTTTTTTTCAGGGCTATCAAATAACCAGAAGATGGAAATTTATTGACGTAAACATGGCTTTTTGACCAAAACGGCAAGAAATACAAGGGGAGGTTAAAATCACCACTCGCGACCGCCGGCTTATCGGCTGCGGGCCGGGCCGCGCTGAAGGGAAGGAGAGAGAATTTATACGAAACCGGGGCGATGGTGCCCTGCTTGCGAGCCGACGGGGAGCATCCGGTGTTTATTTGCATATAATGGCTATGTTATTCTTGAAGAGGAATGAATGGGCTTTCTGCAGATATATTTCCGTAGTCTGTCTGATCACTGGTTCCATAAAAAAACAGCACCGAAAGTTTTCACACACAAATCTCTTCTATTAATTCTTTAAGGACAGTCTTTAGAAATATATCACCGGAAAGAGCGTCTTCTCATCTTGAAGTATCGACGAATCAGATTGCAGTATTTAATACCATACGCTCCCCGTTCCTGTTCAACGGAGGTCACTCTAAAAATCAATACACGAAACGCGTGGCCGCTGCGGTGAAAACCTCGATAGTGTTGTCTTTTATCCCGCAAGATTTTGCTTTCAAAAGAATCGTTTATTCAAATAAATAATACCACTAAAAAGAGGAAAAGCTCCTCTTTCTTCTGATATATCAAGTGTCTGTGTGTATGCATGATCACACTGTGTTTTAGGAGGGTAAAAATATGGGTTTTGGTCTCCGTGACAGTGCGCCAAGGGGGCGCACGGCCAGTTTGCGGTACCTACTTGTAGCAATTTTCCTCTGTAATTATACTTATTCTGACATTCCAAAAAGTAGATTGAAGCAAAGTGCCATTAACTTTTTTTTTTTCAAATACTGGTCTTATGACTTCTTCCTCTTCTTCCCAGTCACACAGATTCAGTGTTGCTGATACCAGTTGACTCTGCTAATCATCTGAATTTGTGCTGTTTTTCCCAGTTTATTGACTCACATTTCTTATTTTGTCACTCATAGTGGAATGAAAGTGTGCAAATGTTAGAGTTGCATTATTTGCTCTCTGTTGAGCAGCAAGACCAAAATTTTAGAGTTTTTAATTTGACCTTTAGCTCTGCAAAGAAAGATTTAGGCAGAGCCTTCTTTATTCTTTATACTTATACAGTAAAGAAACCTAGGATAGTTTAAACTTTGCTAAAAGACTCGTATAACAGCTGTTCCATTGCTTTGGGTGCAATTTGTTGTAAGGTGCAGAAACTGCAGGCCTTAGTTTTTAGTATAGTGTTATTTTTGCCAGGGACACATTGTATCACCAAGAATCTTCTGATCTTTTGTAACGCAGGGTTCAGAAAAAAAGGGTAGCTAGGTTCATGCAACTATTTGGGCGACTTGTATATTTTAGATCTTTTTACTCTTTGAGAATGCAGCAGACACACGTATGTCCGGTCACCAGCAGATTGACTCTCTGTCTGAACCTTTCACTTTTTTTCGTGAGTTTAACTGTTGAAAGGAAGAAGTTACAGAACGACAGTCTGTTCTCCACCATTTAAAGGGTAGAATAGTTCAAGTGTTTTATAATGCCCAATGATTATTTTCAAATTAATAGAATTTTGTATCGCTAATGGCGTCATGAAATTGAGGTGTGCATAATGATGTCTTTAGCGTACTGCTATGGAAGATTAAGTTAGGAGTTAGGCTTGTTCAAATTGCTACAAAAGCAAAATAATCAAGGGCTATTGTTTCAACATTTTGCTTTCCAAAAATATTGTGATTGTTATGTTGAATTTTGCCTTGTTGGCTGAAATGCATATATAATAAATCAAGTGGATTTGATACAACTGCTGATTGTTTTGTGTAAATTTCTTTCAGTTTTTAAAATTCATCTCATGTCAATGGTCGTAAACCTTCATTGTTGTAGTCCAAATTGACACCGTACTGTTCAGACTGCTACTTAACTTGGGGATGGAAAGAATATGGACAAAAGCTGTTCTTCATATTGTGATTCATATTCAATGGAATGAAAGTGTGCTAATGTTAGAGTTGCATTATTTGCTCTCTGTTGAGCAGCAAGACCCAAAATTTTAGAGTTTTTAATTTGACCTTTAACTCTGCAAAGAAAGATATTCAATTATTATAATAATATGTCTACCCACATCCGGGCAAAATTTGAAACTGCGAGAGACTCTCTACTCAAGAAAAAACTATCAATGTTTTGAGCATTATATTTCTCCTAGAAACACACTTCACACAACACAGGTGATTTCATTTTATTCCAAATTCTCAGTCTTTGGTTGAAATTTTCAAAAGTAGTGAGATGCAGCTTACAAGTCAGTTATGCTCAATGCAGTTTTGACAGAATAGGTCCTGTGCAAGTACAACTTTTTTATGAATATCTTGCACAAAAATTGTTCTAGAATGTTGTAATTTGGAACTGATAAAATTCGTTAAGTAGAAATTTGTTTGACATAAAATTCAGTAAGAAGAAACTTATTTTCAAAATGGAAATGGCCGAAAAAAACACAAAACTCCTATAAACACAAAGTGAGGCAGTTTTTAACCCTATCCGTACACTGTACGCCTTTTTGTATGGAGTGGCTTCTAGAGACAATAGGGAGTGGGTGAGGTGCCCAATAGACAGCATTTTTTGAGTTTACATATATAATATCCTGAAAGGTGAAAAATGGGTTTTGCAACTGAACCAGATGTCATCAAGAAAATGTTCCCTTTTTTCAAGATGATAGAGGAACCACAAACACCTTGCCATTCTCTGATCCATGTCAGCCTTGCGGACATGAATATGATAGTGTAGTAGGAGCATGTTAAGATCTGCCTTGAGAATGAGGTTTGGGAAAGTCCTAGACATCGCTTGCAGAGATATATGTCTCATACTCATACTCATGGGACTCCACTTCTGAATTCTGCTCCTTGGTCACTTTTAAAGAGATGGGAATGATGCATTTTCGATTGGAAGTGTGTTTCATTTGGGAATTTTTAGTTCTCATTCTCTATGGATGCAAACTGATGGAATTTCTCTACCCATGACATCCAACATTTTTTTCTTTACCTTCAGGTTGGGGTCGGCGAGTTGGTGGTGAGGTAATGTTCAATACAGAAAGCTCTCTGTTCTTTACTAAACTTAAACTTAACCATGAGCACAGCAGGCAAAGGAAACTTGAGAAAAACAATATCTCTGAGAAAACTTCTGCTGGCTTGTTACTGTTGTAGCTTGCAATGTGGCGTGTGGTAGGCCTAACCTAATGCATACCTGTGCATCATGCTACAACAATGGGGACAACGTTAAAAATCGGTTTTTTATTTTTAAATGTGCCATGTAGAGCAAAACTGTTCTTTGGAAATTGTTAAAATTTGAGATTTTCAGACAAATTCCTTTTGACTTCCAAATATATTTTGTACAAATTAGAAACTCAAAGCTTCTGTGTGAGGGAGTACCAAAAAAGTTGTAGTTTTTTTGTTTTTTTTGGGATCACCCTGAAATCGGTGTTAAAATGATGTCTACCATGGTAGAATGTAATGTAAATGGTAAAATGGGAATCCTGTCGTTCTTTGAGCATCACAATTCTCACATGTAAAAACAGAAATTGCGTGCATATAATTACATAGTCGGTCATTACAATACCCTTGCCTAAAACATGAACTTATGTTATTTTGACTTTAAAAATCCGCCCATTTTTGCAGGTCATGTGTATACTGTCATTAATACAAGGTGCATTTCTGACATGCTGGAGGGGGCTCAATATGCAAGTATATGCCCTAATATCTTACCTTTAAGACCTGTTGATTGTTGCATTGAAATTGATTTAATCTGTGAAAATCCTATCCGGCATTATTTCCCTTTGCTGGGGCTGATCCTGGCATGGCTGTATATGGTGCGTAGTATAATCATGTACTATCATTGGTATAATCAAGTATAATACAGGCGGTATTACTGAGACGCCCAGACGGCAAGTTCCGAATTTTTAAATATATGTACTAAGAGCTAGAATGTCATTCTACCTCTTTTTGTGACTGAGGACTTGGGCTTTCGATTGAAATATCAAAATGCTCTTTAATGTAGACGTTTCTTACACCCCCATCGACACATTTTAGATCATTTACGATGCGGGCCTCTGACCCTGCCTGTCAGGACCATCCCGGGCTGAAAGGGGTACAACCTAGCCCCCCAGGAAATCGCGGTCTTGCGGCCGCTCTTTTCGTCGATTTCCGGAATAAACCCGCAATTTTTTGCAATTTTCACAATTTGTTGCAATTTTAGACAAAAATACATCAACGCTTTAATTTTAACAGAATTTTTAATACGAAATGGTGCGAGTTCAGAGCCGATAGGCCTACGTAAATCATGGTATCATCAAACCAGCTCAAGCCTACTGAGCGTTCTCTAAAAGCTAAACCGGAAATTCAGGCCGGAATGCATCATCTACAACCACAGAATTCTACAACACAAACTGTGACATAAACTGGGCTAGGCCTTTATCTAATGTGTGTAATCGTGCGCGTGTGATAAGAAAGTAGGCGTGTGTGAGATGTACGTGAGTGTGCGCGCGCGTGAATATTGTTCGTACATGATGCATACATACATACACTGTAACTGGGCACCTAGTCTCAGTATCTACGTACACGGTAACCGGAATGAAAATAAACCAATATTTGTCCTGTGCTGTCACTTGTTGAAATTAAAAAAAAGAAAGTTATAACACGCGTCTTGTCGGGCTCGCTATCGTTACCGGTCAGTGAACCTGTGTTTTCGCATCGCATTGTGAGTACCGGTTGGGGTCACCAAAGTTCATTCAAAGTCTGTGCGCTACGAATTATAGGGCTCTGGAATGGGGGAATTATTGGGTTTTTTTTTTTTTAGACAGTCGGGAGAGGGCTGGAGTTGAAGGCAACACCGGATGACAAAAACTGAACTTGGAATTCTTAACTGCCCGGTTACCGTGTACATGACACTGAGACTACGTGCCCGGTTGCCGGTTACCGTGTACGTAGACACTGAGGCTAGGACCAGGTGTCCGCTTACCGTGTATGTAAACACCCCGTTATGTAGGCCTACAACGCCTTAGGGGGGGGGGGGGGGGGGGGGGGGGGGGGGGCCAAACCCCCCAAAGTCAAAATTCGGCTCAAAATCATGGAATTTAAGTTGTAGGCATTTTTAGCTTTCTCAGCCTCTCCTACAACTATTTCATGGAATAAGAACCCCCCAAAACCTTATTTTTTCCCATACCGGGCATGTTTGTGACCGCCATTTCCTCATAAAGTCAGTATTTTAATTTTCTTTATCAGCCGTTTTCTCAAAACGCGACTTTTCTCTAAAAGAATGGAATAGATTTTTGTTGGTGGTGTCAGGAGTGTGGATTTTCACGGATTTTTCGCAAACTTGAATGCTACCTCAGGAAAAAATTCATTAAAAATTTTCTAATTCGTTTAGGAAAAAACCAACAGAATTGTTTTTAGATCTAATGTTTGTGAACACGCATGCAAAAAAACAATCAATTTCCAGGAGTGATAAGTGCGGTATTCATTACGTAAGACAGGTCAATAAAATCCAATATGGCGGCGTATCCATGGAAACGAAACTTTTTTCTCAAATTTGATTGCGGATTTTAACACTCCTTACTATGCTTGTTATATGTGTGAAATTGGTAAAATTCGGTCCAGTAATAAGCGAGATAGCCTCCAGGTGTAGCCCCCCCCCCCCCAAGCTGCGTTCACACGGGAGTGGGTGCTATAGAAATGATCTAGATCTACATTAGTACATGTATTACTATTGTTTATAAATAGAAAAAAAATTGCTGTATTTTACGGTTTGACTTAGTGTTAAAACAATATCATGCCGGCTTTAAAACAGAAAATATCTGAAATAGCCTAGATCTAAATACAGATTACCGATGTATCGAAGGTTTCAAGAGTAAAATAGAACAGGATCTGATTTGATTGGAGCATAAATAAGCTTATTTCGTATTTAGAGGTAGTTTCGAAAATCTCTCGTCATTTTAACATTTTTTTGTAGACTAAACCTCATACACTTCTGGATTTTTGCATGAACCAAGTACCCGGTATGTACTAAATTTGGTATAATTTTATGCCTTCATTTAAAAGCTATTACGAAAACCAAAGGTTCCGTTATTTTGTGTCACGCGTTATCATATTATATTTGGTCGATAACTTTATTGTGAATGTACTCGTGTATTGTTACTAGTAAATATTGTTAATAACATTTGATGAATTTGTATTGTGGGTCATGATTTTTTAAAAGGCTGTGCTGCTTTTATGCTTCCGGTACTCAAAATTGTCATGTTTTTTAAACTAAAAATGCTAAGCCCGTATAAATGCGCCTGGGATTGGAAGGTTGCAATTTTTAGGTAGTTTACATTGCAATTTTTTGCAATTTTTCTATTTCAAAAATGCAATTTTCCGCGGGGCCAGTACAACATCCTGCCAGAAAGACTGAGATACTTGATAAAAGTTTTCAGTCCATTCAAGAATCAAACTTGGATCTTCTGTGTCTTGCCACAAAACCACATATGCTGGTTGAAACATCTAGCTTTAACTTTAATGAAAAATAAGATAAGCTTTGTAGTGTACATTCATTATATTTCCTGTCTTTGTTCCATGCAAAAATGCGGGGTGGGGGAATGCACGCAAGGAAGAGGGGATGGGGCTGGGATGAAAGAGGAGGGGCGGGCCTTGGGAAGGGACGAAGGAGAATGGGAAAACTTGAATAAGAGAGAGAGAGAGAGAGAGAGAGAGAGAGAGAGAGAGAGAGAGAGAGAGATTGTGATCAACTGACGGGCTGATAGATACAGGGAGAAAAACCCCCGATAAA